CAAGTACTAACCCTAAGTGGGTTGTACCCCTTATGGGCTACCCCACTATAGCCTACACAAATGTAAGCACTATAACATTCTAACAAAGCTTGCTTTGCTTTTCTTGACTGGTCTTGTGACCACTTGTTCTCCCCACTTTGCCTATGGGGGTGTGTCAAACTTATATATACCTTACATTGTGTAGGCTGTAGTGGGGTAGCCCATGAGGGGTACAACCCAATTAGGGTTAGTACTTGTACCCAACCCTTTGCTAGTTCATTCATTCTCGCTTACACTTCCTGACAGATTGCGGCGCTTGGTTGGAAGGATGTTGGTGTGTGGAAGCCAATTGGCTAGTTGAAGGTCGAAGCTGACGTGGTGGTGGTGTCGATTGCTGGTGATTCGGGCAGTGAATACGGGAGTGGCCAGACGTTTGACAGAGGTGGCAGAATGGTGGTACATGTCTTTGTCCCTGTAGCTCGTTCTGTCTGTTGTTGTTGTTGTAGCGCCGTTGAGTGTGAAAGGCAAACTCTGGTGCTGATGCCCTTTTCTTGTTATGTTCTTCTTGCAGGTCCACGTCTTGTTGCTCGGAGTGAATTTCGACGCAGAGATTTGCTTCGGAGTTTCTTCCGTGGGCTTGGAGAATAGCTCGAGTGGAGCGCCACTGAGGACCGAGACCTGTAATAACGACAGTGACGAACGCTTCTTCGGATATTGATATGCCGCATTGAAGGAGTCTATCGCGCAGACCGCGACAGCGACTGATATATGCCATGCCATTCCCTTTTCGCCGGGTTGCATTTGGACCGTTGTCAATTGCGCCATGAGACGACTTTGATTAACGCTATCGGTTGCTTGATACAAGTTCTTCAGGTGGTTGTACGCGAGCTCGGCGGAGTTACCGTATCCGCGATAAGACTGGATGTTCTGCTGCTCGTTTGGCGTTATGTTTCGCAGGAGTATGGTGTACTCCATTAGTGACTGATATGTGTACTGCGTCGCGTGCGTTGGATATGGCAGGGAACCGTCGAAGAAGCCAAGGATTTTAGCGCCTTCCATCATCAGCTCGAACTCAAAGGACCAGGTATAGAAATCCTTGCCGTCAAATGGTGTTGTCGTTTGGAGTTTCAGAACATTTGCAAACTGTGACTGCAGTTGAAGTGCGTCCAGCGTCCTTGGGTTGTGCCTCTCTCTGTCTGTAGTCCAGAGGCTGGAGGTAGAGTAGGAGTGTTGCCGGGAGATTCAGTAGACGAGCTTCTTTCTTTCTGCGTAGCCATGCCTTCTGTTGTTGTAGGAGTGTGAACAGAGTTGTCTTTTGTCTTGACCGCTCTCATACCATGTTAGGCTGAGAAAAAGCCCTTAGGATCTTTTTCAAGACTAAGACTCAGAGTAGTGATGTATTAGCGGAAGCGTATTAATGAACTGGTTGAACCACCTTGCACTAGTATGTGAGAACAAGATAAGCTAATAATAGCAAAGAGATACAAAGCTTTATATGATTACAAAGGAATATGAAAGGTTTAACTAACTGTAACTGCTGTTGCGGTTCGATACAGCGACGACTCGGGTAACTGCTCAAAAGTGAGTCAGTTATGTGTCATTGCTGTCGCGCTGTTTTTTGGCGAGTTGAAGGTCGCTGACCTTTGACCTTTACTTAACCTCTTGCTGTTGTCTTTCTGTCAACCGTTTGATTGACTTGCTGTTGCTTCGTTGTAGTTCACTTCGCTTACGTTGTAGTGTTCGACACATCAGAAGCGCGAACTATATGTTTCCAACAATACAACGGTAGGAACCCTAGCTAGGCAGGTACCTTGGAAGTCGAGGTTGGGTGCTGGTATGGGGACGGCAATTTCAAAAGAGACACGGGTCATTTTCGGGAGGCGAGGCCATCGGAGCGAGTCTAGTTTTCAAAAAAGTTGGAGTTGTACGCGGTGTAGCGTTAACTCAGTAAGGAGTGGAAAATTCCGTACAACTAGTACAACTAGTAACACTTCTCATGATTTGGATGTTACCAATTTGATTTCAGTTTCATCAATCCCATCAAGTCGCGAAGTTCGAGGCCAATTGACCAGATCACAAGTGGTTCCTGCCTGTCACTGGTCACGTCACATTCTAGGGACGATCACCACACGACCTGCTTTCCACACGTGTCGGAACCACCACATGCCAGGCTCCCATTCGCTGCCTGGCCTGCTCCACCGGTTCGGATACGCCGTCATCGCGATGGCTCAAAGCGCCCTTATGCTCCTCCCGCGTCGCGATGCTCGCAGGGCCGTGCCCACTGCAGCAGATATTGTGGGAGGGACTGGTATCATTGTTTCGTTGTCGCCAATTCACGACTTTCCTTTGCCCCACGCCCCTCTCCTAACTGTTTCCAGCGCCACGCTTCCCTCTCTCCTCCCTTCTCGTCTCGTCACGTCTCTCTCGCTTGCAGCCACGCTGGTCGCCGCGTGCCCGCCGCCTAGTCGCGTCGGTCGCTCGCCAATGACATGTCGCCTGACAGCCCCCCGCCTACCTCCGCCCTCTGCCGCGCGACGTGTGCAAGCGCCGATGGCGGGCAGGCGGGTGAGGGCGGGCGGCCCGTAGGGGAGCGGCAGTGGCGGTGGCGCGCGCGATGGCGCGAGGCGGTGGTGGCGGGGGCGCGGCCGCAGGAGCGATGGGGGCACTCCGCCGTGGCGTGGGATGGCAAGCTGATCGTGTTCGGGGTGAGTGGAGGCATGCCGATCGTGTTCGGGGTGAGTGGCGGCATATGGACGAGTGCAGGTGAAACGCGTTGCTTCTGTGGTGAGGCAGCTGTGCACATGTTGCCACCGCTGTGTGTGTTGATGTGTGTGTGTTGAGGTGAGTGCGCTGACGTGCAGGGCGTAGGTCCGGGTGAGAGGGGTAGGTCCGGGTGAGAGGGGTAGGTCCGGGTGAGAGGGGTAGGTCCGGGTGAGAGGGGTAGGTCCGGGTGAGAGGGGTAGGTCCGGGTGAGAGGGGTAGGTCTGGGTGAGAGGGGTAGGTCTGGGTGAGAGGGGTAGGTTTGGGTAAGATGGGTAGGTTTGGGTGAGAGGGGTAGGTTTGGGTGAGGGGGGTAGGTTTGGGTGAGGGGGTTAGGTCTGGGTGGGAGGAGGGGTAGGTTTGGGTGAGAGGGGTAGGTTTGGGTGAGAGGGTTAGGTTTGGGTGAGAGGGGTAGGTTTGGGTGGGTGAGAGGGGTAGGTTTGGGTGAGAGGGGTAGGTTTGGGTGAGAGGGGTAGGTTTGGGTGAGAGGGGTAGGTTTGGGTGGGTGAGAGGGGTAGGTTTGGGTGAGAGGGATAGGTTTGGGTGAGAGGGGTAGGTTCTGGTTGGCTGAAGGTGAAAGGGGGTGAAAGGGAGGGATGGGTGGTAGCATGGTGAGGATACGGAATGGACGCCGCCCACTCGTATGTATGCTATTGTGTGCTGCTCTCCACTGCACGCCCTCTCCCTCATTCTTCTGTCTGCCAGACACGCCCTCCAAAGCTCTGTCTTACCCTCTCCCCATTCCCCCCGCCCCCCTCCCCACCCACCCCCTCCCCTGCGCGTGCCCGCAGGGGTGTTTCGGAGCGCAGCACTTCTCCACCGTGCTCGCGCTGGACCTCACCACCCTCGCCTGGGCGCCCCTCTCCGCGCACGGCGCCCTGCCGCCGCCTTCCGACTGCCACTCGGCCTCGCTGCTCTCCCACGCCCGCATGCTCGTCTTCGGCGGCACCGATGGCCGCCGCCGCCTCGCCTGCACGCACGTGCTGCACCTGCCGTCCAAGCAGTGGCGCTGCGTGGGGGGAGGGGGCGCGCCAGGGGAGAGGAGTGCACGCTGTGTGCCGGGTGGGAGTGTGAGTGAAGTGGGTGGTGCGATGGAGGAGGGGGGAGTGGAAGGGAGTGAGGTGCAAGGAGGCGGCGAGAGAGGGCAGCAGGGGGCAGGGGAGGTGGAGAGTGGCGTGAGCTGCATGGACGAGGCGGTGGTGACAGCAAGGCAGGGGGGGATGGGGGCAGAGGGGAGGAGGCGGCAGGTGGAGAGGAGGGGCAGTGACGGGTCGCACGTGTCAAGCAGCAGTGTGGTGCGGCACGGAGGTGACAGGGAAGGGGGCGAGGGGCCGGTGTGGCCCACAAGGCAGGGCAGTGGCGGCGACACGGACGTGGACGGCAGCAGCCGGGGCACACAGTGCGGGCGGGTGGGTCCCGTGCAGCCCGGCACGTGGCATGAGGCGAGCGCGCTTGCTGCTGCGCACCCCCCTGCCAGGGAGAGCCACGCAGCAGCGGTTGTTTGGCTTCCACGGCGCAAGAGGGTGGAGGAGGAAGCAGGAGGGGGTGCGGTGGAGTGGCGAGAGACTGTGCTGGTGTTCGGTGGCAGTGGGGATGAGGAGGGCGGTGATGGTAAGGATGGGAGTGCGAGGGGGGAAGGCATGGAGGGGTGGAGGCGGGAGGAGCGGAGAGATGGGGGAGGAGAGGGAGGCAGCATGAGTGAGGGGGGTGGCAAGGGGCGGTACCTGAACGACCTGTGGGGGCTGGACGTGCCGTCCATGACTTGGTGCCGCCTCAATGCACCGCACACACCGCCGCCTGCCACCCGTGTGCCATGTGGCAAGGCAGGGGAGTGGCCTCCGTGTGCGCGCGACAGCCACAGCATGGTGGCGATGGGCGGGGCGCGCGAGCAGCAAGTGGCGGTGGTGTTCGGCGGCAACTGTGGAGCGCGCTACCTCTCCGACCTGCACCTGCTGCACGTCAACGACCTCTCCTGGCAGCACGTGCGTGCCCGTTGGACAAGGGGTGTGAGGGGTGTGCTGTGAGGGGTTACCCGTGGGGCATATCAGCTGTGGGATGGGGGTGGTATAAGTGGGGGTAGCTATGAGGTGGAGGAATAAATGCGGAGATAGAGGGGTTCGTATAAGGAGAGTGCTGTTGATGCTCTGCTTACTATTCGGACTTTATTCTATGCTCCAAACGCCCACACACACACCCCCAACACCTTTCTCTCTTCCCCCACCTTCTATGCGCTCCCTCCCCGCATGCTGTCTCCCTCACAGATAACAGCACCAGCGGGAGCGCAGTGGCTGGCGCCAAGAGCAGCCCACAGTGCCGTGGCCCTCACGCCCTCGCAGGTGGGTACCGTTTCCTGTGCTCAAAAAGTGGCACATGCCCTAGCCAGGGATGCTTCTTGTTGATCCCACACTCATGCGGTGGGTGCAATGCTGCTGCTGCGGATCCGATGCGCCACATGCGGCATGCACCAGCCTAAGCGGGCCAGGCGGTCATGAACCGTAGCATGATGAGTCCACCCAACCCAAGCATCCCCACTTATCTCCACTGTGCCGCCCACGTGCCTCACCCGTCTGTCCTCGCTCTCACAAAGACCAACCCAGCATGCCACGTGGCTGCGCATCCTCTTCTCTCCTCTTCTCTCCTCTTCTCTCCTCTTCTCTCCTCTTTCCTCTTCTCTCCTCTTCTCCCTTCTCTCCTCTTCTCTCCTCTTCTCTCCTCTTCTCTCCTCTTCTCTCCCACCTTGCCCGTCCCCTGTCTCTCCCTTCCATCCGCCTCTCCTCTGCCCCGCAGATGCTGCTGCTGGGAGGAGTGGGCGACGGTGGCTACTTCAATGACACATGGCTCTTTGACCTGCCCTCTGCCACGTGGCACCAGCTGCATCCACCGATCACAGCCGGCCCTGCCATGCTGGGATCACATGTGTCGATGGTGGAGCATCCGGAAGAAGAGGAAGCGTCGGCAGCAGCAGCGGAGGCAGAGGCGGCGTGTGAGGAGGAGGAGGGGCAGCAGCCGCGGGCGTGCTTCTCCCACACGGCCACCCTGCTGCCCGACGGCTACACCATCGCACTCTTTGGCGGGTAAGATGGGCGCGGGGGAAGGGGAATGGGGAAGGGGGAGAACCAGGGAATGGGAACTAGGAAGGGAACTGATGGAATTCACTCTGTTGCTCTGCTCACTGTGATCTTCTTGCCTTCACACTCGCCCCTTTCTTTACCTCCATGTGTTGCCTTCGCAGTCACCCCTCACTTCCCTTACGTGCACCCTTGTCCCCCCTGCTTGTACCATGTATTGACCATTCCTATTTGCCCCAAACAGCCTCCTCTCCGCTGCATTCATTTCTCCGCAATGCTTGCCTTGCTTGCTGCTCTTCCTTTGCTGCATCTTCATGCGCGTTCACGCCGCCAACGCACTTCATGCGCGTTCACGCCGCCAACGCACTTCATGCGCGTTCACGCCGCCAACGCACTTCATGCGCGTTCACGCCTCCCACCCACCTCATACCTGTTCCCTTCCCCCACCCTCCCTATGTCTGCGCTGCGCTCTCCCATCAGCTGTGGGCGCGACGAGCAGCCATGCAGCGACCTCATGCTGCTGCACCTCCAGTGCCCTGTACGCACCCACTCTCGCCTGCTCCTGCTTGCCGCACTTGCTATGCATGCACAGAGCATGGCATGTGTGCACAGAGCATGGCATGTGTGCACAGAGCATGGCATGTGTGCACAGAGCATGGCATGTGCCGAATGCCCTCTCATTTTGTCCTCTCGTTCTTCTCACCACAAGGTGCACCTTCCTTCATTTCTCCTCCACATTCACTCCACCTCCCTACTGTATCCTCCTCTCCTCATCCTCTACCCCCTACCGCGCGTTCCCTGTCCTCCTCCCTCTTCACTTTCCTCCCGCACTCTCGTTATCCCCTCCACCCCTCCAGCCCGCCAGTCCTTCCCCTCTCTGTGCGCGCCCCCTCTCCTTTGCCTCTCTGCCCACGCCTGCTGCTACGCGCACGGGGGGCGAGGAGGAGAAGGGCAGCGGGGCATGGGTGATGGAACAAGGTGACAGAGCAGTGGGGATGGAAGAGAAAGGAGGGGAAGCATTGGGGAGGTGGCGGGAGGGAGGAGAGGCGATGGAGTGGAGGGCGGTGTGGGAGGGAGGAGGGGAGGAAGAGGCTGAGGTGGGCAGGCAGCGGACAGGCGAAGAGAGGGGCTTTCTTGATGAGCTGGCGGGCATTCTGAAGGACGGTGAGCGGTCTTGGTGGAAAGGGGTTGTTGGCACGAGGGAAAGCAGTATGGATGCGTGTGGCCTCACCTTGTCATCGTGGCTGTGCATGCACTATGTGTGCAAGTCTGTCGCTTCATTCGTAGCTTGCTTTCTATCGCTTACAGCCTACTTAGGACGTTCAGCTTAAGGCCCTTAGGACAAAATCAGGTCACACATCCTCTCGTGTTGTCATTTCCAAGTTTTTCACATGCGCCTTTCGAGTCACCCCGCTGCAGGTGGATGCCTTGAAAGCACCATGTGCACTAGCAGCGCCTGCTGTCGCCTCTCTCCTAGCATGCACTCGTGTGCCATCACCATCCATGCCACCCATCCGCCCGCGCTCATCCCTTCTCCTTCCACATCGTCCCCCCCACCCCACCCATCCTCTCCTCCCGCCTTCAGATGCGCCCTGCACGTCACAGCCAGCAGCCACCCTCCGCGGTACCTCCCTTCCGCACTTGCTTCCTTCCTCCATCCGCGCAGCTGGGCCGAGCAGCAAGCATGCAGCGCCAGCACGAGGTGGAGCAGCGGGCGCAGAAGCAGAGAGGGGGCAGCAGGGCAGGGCGAGGGGGCGGCCGCGGCGCTACGTGGTGTCGGAGGCGGGCGAGCGCATGGTGAGCGCCGCGCTGCGAGCCCGGCAGGCCGGTGGGGGGGGAGAGGTGGACGGGGGTGGAGCGAAGGGTGGAAGCAGTATGGTGGCGGGGCAAGGGGCGGCAGTGGGTAGCGATGCGAGTGGGAAGGGGGAAGGGGGGGAGAGAGACTGTGCTGGTAAGGATGGGGATGGTGGTGAAGAGCGTGGGGCAGCGGAGCCAGGCGTGGGAAGAGAAGGTGCAGGAACAGCAGGTGCAGGCATAAGAGGTGGCACCGCCTTGAGTGGTGGCAGTCGGCCCAAGCTGCAGGCGAAACGAGCAGCCAGTGGAGGTGTGTGGCGCGGCAGTGAGGTGCGCGGGATGAGCGGGGCGGCAGGGAGGTGTCACCATTCGACCATGACATGGCGCATGGAAGTCTGCCCGCTGCTTGTCCTCCTGCTGCTCATGAGGGGCATGTTTCGCTGCCTGCATGGAAGCAGCAGTGTGGCATGGCATGGCAGCAAAGGGGTGTTCTTGGTGCTGCAGATGCCACTGCTGCTATTCCTGCCACTCTCCCTCTCTCCGCCCCGCCTGCCCTCCACGCTACACCCTCCTCTGCCCTCCACGCTACACCCTCCTCTGCCCCGCAGCAGCCCCGCGTGTCCGAGGTCGCCCCTCCCAGGCAGCACGTCGCCGTGCCGTCGTCCCTGTCAGCGCGCCCCCTCATTGCGCTGCACGGCCGCCCCGTGGGCCATGCCAAGGGGCACAGCGGGGCAGGGCAGCCCGGGGGGGGGAGAGGGGGCGAGGGGGGATGGCAGGGGTGACGCATGGGCATGCGAAGGCAGTGGGGAGGGAGAGGGAGGCGTGGCGGCGATGGAGGCAGGGGTGGGAGGGGGGGGTGGTGGGGTGCAGGGCGGAGAGGGCTGGCGTCCCCACCTTAGTTCAGAAAGACGCGTCCTGCGTCCTGGACGCATGCGTCCAGACGCATGCGTCCAGACGCAGGACGCTGACCCTTGACCTGTAAGACGCACCAAAAGACGCAAGCCCGGGCAGGGCAAAAAAAAATCCCCGGGCAGGCCAAAAAAAATAGTATAGGGCTTGGGAGAGGGGGGGGGGGGGGGGTGTCATACCACAAAATTTTCCCCCAAAATTTGAGATTAAGGTGAGTCACGTGTCACACATTTCACAGAAGGAATGCTCGAGGAAGCCATAGCGGAGTTTAGGTGGTAAGCTAAGCTAAGACCTAAAACCTCTATGGGTTTACGAAAGAGAATTGGTGAGGGGAAAATGAGAAGCCACAAAAGGTTGCCATGCTAAATGTGCTTGGTGGTGGTGGGCTACAAAGGTTGGGATTCGTAGATGCTAAGTGGTTGAGAGGTTTGAGTGAAATTCAATTTTGGTTTAGTTGTTAGGGAATGTTAGGGGGGCTGGTTTTGAATGGCGAATTGGGCTTGGGGTGGGGAAATTTCGCGATTTCGACATTCGCGTCGAAATCGCGAATGCCAAAATCGCGATCGAAAAATTTTTTTTTCGGGCTGTCCGAAAACATTTTCGACGTGCGTCCTGCGTCTGGACGCGCGTCCTGCGTCCTAGCGTCCGGACGCTGCGTCCGGACGCAGGACGCAGCGTCCTAGCTGCGTCTTTCCGAACTAAGGTCCCCACAACCACCTGCTGCACCTCGGCATCGGCCGCATCGTGCGCTGCCCTGTAAGCCTCTGCTCTGCCTGCCCGTGCCTTTCGCTCAGTGGGATGGGTGCTGAATCCATGGCAGGTAGTGCACCTTAACCATCACACGATCCCATGTGCTCACCACCCATGTGCTCACCACCACCCTCCTCTTCCCCCCGTCCCCTCCCTGCCGTGCTCGCCAGTCGGGAGCATCGCTGGCAGTGCGCGTGGACGGGGTGTTTGACGGCGGCGTCACACTCGCAGCGCAAGTCGGCGCCCACACGCTCTCCGGCGTGCTGCTCGCCCCACTTGCTGTGAGTTTCGCTGCCCTTTCCACCTCCAGCTGCCAGCCGTGTGCAGGCAACTCGCTGTACCAAGGCCACATGAGGTTTTACGCTACCCCATATGATCCCACAATTTCTGTTTTCTTTGGCCTCTCATGTCGTTTCTCACTCCACACTCCCCTGCTCCACCTTCACTTCACACCCAAGCCTTCCTGTCATTCCCTCCCCTCCCGCTGCATGCAGCTGAGGTCCATCCTTCTCTCCCCGCCTCCCCACTTGTCCGCACCTCCTCCTCGCTCCGCCGCCACACCGCCGCCACCCTCTCCAGCACGCCCCTCATCCGCACTGCTGCTGCCCGCCCTCCCTGCTTCCAATGGGCGTCTGACACCTGGCGGTACCACCGCCCCAGACACTGACACTGGCGGTGGCTGTGGTGGCGGCAGCAGCGATGGCTCCCTGCACCCACCAGCAGTGGCAGCAGCAGCTTCGTGCAGTGTGTCGGCTCATTCCACCCCGCCAGCAGCATCGGCTGACACGCATCCAGAGAAGCCTGGTGGTGGCGGGGGGAGGAAGCGGCAGGGCGCAGCAGGTAGAGGTGGAGGGAGGGGGCGGGGGAGGCAGGGAGGGCGAAAGAAGAGGGCCAAGCAGAGTGGTGGTGAGGCGGGGGCAGGCGAGGCGGATATGGCGAAGGTGGGTGGGGAGGCAAGGCGGAGCAAATCCAGGACAAGGAAGGGGCAGATGGGGGGAGAGGGCAGGTGGGGAGGGGGAGGGGTGAGGGAAGGTGGGAGAGGGGAGGAGAAGGTGGAGCAGGGGGCGATGGGGGAAGTGTGCAGGGAGGTGAGGGCGTGGGAGGCGGGAGAGGAGCGTCAAGGCATGGAGGTGGTGAGCGGGGGAGAGCCGGGGGGAGGAGAGAGGAAGGATGGAATGCAAGGTGGTGAGTGGGAGCGAGCGCACGAGCAGCTTGAAAGGTGGGAGACGCGTGTTGGGCAAGGGGCACAGCCGTCTCCAATGCAGCAAGAGCAGCAGCAGCAGCAGCAGCAGCAGCAGCAGCAGCAGCAGCAGCAGCAGCACGATGCTGTGTCTGGTGTTGAGGCTACTTGGGCCCATCCCAATGCTGCACTGCAGCCGTCACCCTCTCTCATGGCCGTACCATCCCACCCCACTTGTATGCTGCCCCCATGGCCCTTGTCAAGTAGCGTGGCTCGGTACGGCCGCGAGATGCAAGGGGACAGTGCAGAGCAGCAGAGGGCAGCGGAGCACGTAAGTGTACTTGCGGGATATGCTGTGACACACGAAGGAGGAGGAGGAGGACGACGGGGAGGAGTGGGGGCAAGTGGGGAGGGCATGAACAAAGGGGAGGGCATGAACGAAGGGGAGTGGGATGAGGAGGTGGTGCAATGGCATGCAGACATGCATGTTAGCATGCATGGTGACGGGCATGTTAGCATGCATGGTGACGGGCATGTTAGCATGCATGGTGACGGGCATGTTAGCATGCATGGTGACGGGCATGTTAGCATGCATGGTGACGGGCATGTTAGCATGCATGGTGACGGGCATGTTAGCATGCATGGTGACGGGCATGTTAGCATGCATGGTGACGGGCATCTGCAGTGGCATACTGAGGAGGAAGGAGGGAATTATGGAGGAGGGCAGGGTGGCAACGGCATGAAAGCAGCCGGCCGTGGGGGGGTGGGAAGTGGCGCGCATGCTGCCATGGAGGCGGAGCATGAGGCTGAGCCTGAGGCTGCGGCTGCGGCTGGGGCCGCACATGCTCCACACAGCCCTCATGGCCTCCACACCCTTTGCACTACGCATGCCAGTCAGCGCCCTCTTGCCGCTCACAGCACCCTTGCCACCGCCGACCTTGTCACTCACGGCATGTGCAGCATGGAGCAGTGGATGGCGCAGCTGCAGGGCGCACCGGGGCATGGCAAGGGGCATGGCGAGGGGAATGGCGAGGGACATGGCGAGGGGCACACAGGAGAGCAGGTGACAGGAGGGGCGCTGCATCCTCAGCCTGCGGCTGGTGGCAACGCTGGCAGCTCGCTGCCCAGCCTGGCGGCACACCCACACTCTCATGGCCACCTGTCACCGGGATTGCATGAGTGGGGCAATTGCACAGGTGGCAGCGGCAGTGGCAGTGGCGAGTGGCAGCTGATTGCGTCGCCTCCCTCCCCCCTCCACCTCATCGGCCTTGACTCCTCCCTCCACTCCCCCTCGCTCCACCCTCATTCACACATCGCCTCACACGCGTCCCCCTCCACCCCTCCCTCACTGCATCTGCCCCCCCTGTCCCTGCCACCGTTCCTGCTGCCGCCCCTCCACCTGCCCGCCCTGCCCTCATCCGACCACGTGGGGTCGTCCCCCGCGCCCCCCACGCCCCACGGCAGCCGCCTCTCCCACTCCAGCCCACCCGCCGAGCACACAGGGGCAAGCATGGGTGGGGCGCAGGGTCAACGGGAGGCTGCTGAAGGTGCACGTGGAGTTGCACTGAGCAGTGGAGATGGGAGCGGTGTGCTTGAGGGTGCTCTCAAGGATGGCAGGCCAGGGTTGAATGGAGGTCAGAACCATCATCTAGAGCTGATTAGGTTCTCTCCATTGCATTGGTGAAGTTAATGTGGCCATGTTTGTAGAGAAAGGCTATTATTGTCTAATGTACACATATGCATTTGCATGTGCACTCTCTAGGCTAGGTTGGGTTGTTCTTTAGAGGTATGAGATGATTCTTGTATCCCCTTTGTATGCCCTCATTAGTAATTCGTTTTTGTTCATAACATGGTATCAGATGTACTGGTAGGTTAGGTTCTTTGCTTCTGCACCTCCTACCTCACTCGCTGCCCCACGTGCCCTCGTGGCCCCCGTTTAGCGCCTCCCCACCCACCCCCACCGCCACCCCCCCCCCCCCCCTCCCCCCCCCCCTCCTCCCCTCGCGCGTCATCCTGCCCCGCCGCGGCCCCGCCCCCACCATATTGCCCTTGCCCGCGCCCGTGTCCAAGCCCGTGCCCGCGCCCGTGTCCAAGCCCGTGCCCAAGCCCGTGCCCAAGCCCGTGCCCAAGCACGTGCCCACACCAGCGCTTGCGCTCGCCGCGCCTGCCGCCGCTGCACTGCCTGCCGTGCCCGCGCCGCCTCCTGCCGCGCCTGCGGCGCTGCTCCCTCGCATGCTGTGCCTGTCGCCGCGCTGCTCCTTCGCATGCCGCGCATGTCGCCGCCCCGCTCGTCGCACCTCCTCGACGTCCCCTCTCATCTACTGCAGTTGTGCCCCAGCTCAATCCTGTCATGGCGTCCCAGTTTGTACTGCGGCTCGATGCAAAGGGGCGGGCGATTGACTTGATGCGTGGCTGCTCGACGTCAAGCTCCACCTGCGGAGCCAACGCCTGGATAATGTCTTCCTGTACGCCCCTGTGTTGGGCGAGGTACCTGCCCCCCGGCGTCCTACTGCCCTTGCTGTTGAGCCTACGTCGGGGGAGCGGGAGGCTCACCGCGTGGCCCGACTTGCATACTCAGTTAACGAGTCGCGTGACGGTGCTGCGCGCCTTGTTCTTAGTCGGCTCTTGCCGCTGGCACAGCGGGTGCACTTTCGCCAGGTCGTGTCGGCAAAAGTGTGCCTGGATGCTATTGTTGCTCGCTACTGCACCCCCCTCCCCCCTCTGCTACTCTGGGCCACCTCCTTATTCCCTTCTTCTTCTCTGATCTTCTCCACTATCCCTAACCTCACTATCCACGTACGCTCGCTTGACGCTAGCTTCTGCACTGCTTGCACTACTCATGGCCTTGCTGGGCACGCCCCCCCAATTTTTGCCACCCTCTTTGACCCGGCTCCCTGACCGCCTCATGCGTGTCCGCAATGCCCTCCTCGCCATGCACCCCATGTGCCTCATTACCGAACTCATTAAGTTTCACCTCACTAAGGTCGAAACCCGATTTCGCACCATCGCCTCCACCACTGGTGTGGTAGTCCTCCCCATCTTTGAGGGGTGCTCCCCACCCCAGTTCCCTACCCCAACTGCCTCTGCTGCTGTTACTCAGCCTACTGCTAGAGCGGAGATCGCAGCTGTCTCTGCCCTTTATGGTGGGTGGGGAAAGCACATGGGTGGTCGTGATCGTGGGAAAGGTGGAGTGCTGGTATGTCAGGGGGTGCACGTACGTCTGAGGGTACTCCCTCTACTTCCTGTGGGCCTGGCGGTGCTACTGCCAACACAGGTGTGAAAGTGAGTCCGCAGCAGCAGAAGCAGCCGTAGAAGCAGCAGCAGCAACAGCAGCAGCAGCGGCAGCAGCAGCACCAGCAACAACATCGGAAGCTCCAGCAATGGGTCTTCCAATGACAATGGGGACCTGCTGGCCCGGGGAGCGGTGGTCGCGGTGGCGGGTTAGGCAGCTGGGTGTTGCGTGGCCTCTCCCCCGGGCCCGGCCTGTACCAGATTCAATCTGGTCCAGTTCGAGGCACCGTCTGCGGGCGCACAAGTCACACCACTACGCGATGCTTTCGCCGGCTCGGCGACCTCTTCTACGCCTACTTTGTGTCAACGGGAGTTTGCTGTGGCCCCGTCCTCGCTTGGGCGATGCCGACCTTGTGGTCGGGTGTACGGGGGAGTGCAGCCGACTTGCAGCAGTGGGCGAGCTAGTCGACGAGGGTGGTCGACCTGCGCGGGGGCCAGTGCATTGATGCCGACTTCTGGGTGCCGACTTTGGGGTGGTTGACGGAGGAGGGGCCGACGTCAACCTCGACAGGGGGGACGTCGAGCAGCATGTCGCCGGGTTGAAAGGCGCCGACTTCGGGACGTCGACTTGGCGATGCCGACCTGGGGAAGCCGACGTGGGTGGTCGGCTGACAGGTATGTTGGCTGACCTGGAGTTGGCCGACCAGGAGTGAAATCGACCTGGTGTGGCCGACTGAAGGTGGTCGTCGACTAAGAAGGTCGACGGGCACAAGGAGAAGTTGGTCGACGAGATGGTTGCCCGATCGACCACGTCACCCGAGCGACGAAGTTCTACGGAGGCATGCAACAGTCGCCCGGGTGTTAGTGGCGAGGCCGACCTCGGTGTGGTATCCCGAGGTCGACGTGGTTGATCAGGTGCAGATGTCAGCGCCAAGTTGATTTGGTGTGCAGGTGACAAGGCACGGCGCGCCAATCATCTGCGAGCACCTGCGAAGCAGGTGCGCTGCAGTTCTGCGGATGCAACATTGGCATGCCGTCGACTTGCAGTGTTGGCAAGCCACAACTTTGTACTGCTGGAGCGCGGTCGACCGAGTCGTGCTGGAACGCGGTTGACCATGCTGCGCTGGTAGTCGACCTGCTTGCGTGCTAGCTCTGATGTAGTGTTGTCTTGCCAACTTGATTGTACCATTGTTGCCAACTTTCCTTAGTGAAACTCTTGCGGTTTTGCCTTGTGAATGCACAAGTGCTAGAGAACGACTAAGTGAACGAACGCAGAGATCCCTCCAACCCCGTGCCTAGCCTGTAGTCTGGCTCCCGTTGATAGAGTTATCTCCGCATGGTGCGGTGAGCGTGGAAGGCACACGACTTACCTTTCAATCAGGTTGACGTAGTTGTCACTTACCTAATTTGTGTTCGTAGGCCAGCAGCTGTGCGGTAGTCACTATGGTAGGCGCCGTAGTTGACACGGGGGTGGTGGACACCCTGGAGGCACGACTGGAGAACGCGAGGAGACGTCACGAGGCGAACGAGTATGGCGACCTGCCTTGGGCGGTCGTCGAGGCTGGCATTTGTGCCGTGTGGGCGACGGAGCACTCTTCTCGGCCTGTCTCTCCTCGACCAGTGAACACTGAGGGCGGCGTCGACGCGGGCGTCAACGCCGGTGGTGGTCAAGTCGGCAGCAGTGCGGGAGGCACGTCGAGGCAGCGAGGAGTGATTCACGCCGATGAAGTCGGCGGCGTTCAGGCGCGAGGAGTGCGGTCGTCGGCGACTGCAGGCTCCTCGTAAGGCAACCTCGGAGGTCGACGAAGCGGATTGCCGCCGATGTCGGCGACCCACGTGACAGCAGGCGGGATTGCGCCGAGCTACGGCTATTTCAAGTTTACAATGGACAGGATCTTGGTCACTCCTCTGCTGGCCGGTCGACCTGACATTCTCACATGGAAGGAAGCTATCGAGCCCCAGTTGGAGATGGCCGGGCTGATCGGCTTTGCCCGCGGTACCGTGGCGATGCCGGAGGACCCCAATCTGTGTGCCGAGTTTCGCGCTGTGAAGTTGGTGACCTTCACGGTAATCTCATGGTGCTGCTCACCGGGCGTACAGATCGCCTTGAAGTCATGCAAGGAGCACCTCGACGCCGGCCACCGGGCGTGGCATTTCATCGAGTCGACTTACCAGGTCACCGACGACTTGTTCATCGGCCAGCTCGAAGAGCAGCTGACGCACCTGCGGATGGGCGACCAGGAGACTGCGACCGACTACTGCAACCGAGCTCGGAGAATTCTCGACACCATACGGATGGCCGGCGCGCAGTACTCAACGGCATCGTACGCCACGCACGTCATGCAGGGAATCCCGAGCAACTACAGCCTACTGAAGCGGCTGTCGATGGCGCCGAGCACGCGGGCGACGCTCAACAAGGACACCATGACCTCGTACATCCAGCAAGACGAGGCGATGTAGGAGGCTGAACAGTCCCAGAAGCTCCTAGCACAGGTGAACTACGTCGCCCCTGCAAAGCAAGGTGTTCGACCGGGGCTGCGCGCACAGTCTGGCGGTGGTGGTAGCAGTGGCTGGAAGCTGACCAAGGACGCAGACAAGAGGAAGTCGGCCAAGGATAACGGTCGTGGAGGAGGAAGTCAACGTCGGGAGTGCTGGCTGTGCGGCGACCCCGACCACCACTCCTTCGAGTGCCCCGACCGCAGTGACTCCGATGACGACGACGCCAAGGGAGGCCGCGGGAGGTCTGGCAGCCGTCGTCCCCGTCGAGTCAGAAACCAGCCGCGCAAGGAGAAGCAGTCGACCAAGTCGTCGACCTCGGCGAAGGACGCCGACTCCTCTGCTGGCGGCAAAGGGCGAGACGACAAAGAGGCGTCGTGCTCGCTGGTCAGCGTTGTGGAGCCGACTGTCTCACTGGCGCCGGAGGCTGGCGAGGACTTCTAGGCGATGGCGGCAGCCGTGCAGGCAAACCCGGCGTTAGTTCCGCTCGATAGTGGTTTCTCCCACCACTTGATGGGGATGAAGGAGGTCTTCGTTGACCTACAACCGAGCGGGGACGTCAAGCACGTGCGCGGCTTCAATGGGGCGCAGCAGGACGTCCAGGGCCGCGGCACTGTCGCTCTGCAAGGGGAGGCCATGAGGCAGGTGCTCATCCCCGATGTGCTCTATGTCCCGGGCGTGCGAGCGAACCTGCTTTCGGCCGGTCAGTTGAAGGAGAACGGCGTGAAGCTGCAGGAGGAAGGCGACGTGATGTTGCTCGTCTCGGCCGCGGGAGACGTCCTCGGTCGGGCGTCCTACACCGGGCGAGTCCTCTGCACCGACCTGCGTCCCTGCGCGGCGAAGTCGACAACGCCCACGACGGAGGTCGTGGCCCTGCGGGCGATCGTCTCAGTGACGAAGTCGACGCCGGACAGGCTGCATGCAAGGCTTGCACACGTCGGCATGGACACCATCCGG